GGGGGTGGGGCTTAGTTGGAGAAAGTAGGTCACTGGGAATCTGTATCTTTGAGGCTGTATATATCCTTGTCCTTTCCTGTATTTCTTCCTCACTGCTTTCTGGCTGATGATGTCAACATCTCTGGTTTGCCTTGCCCTCCTCACTTTGGAGGACTATAATTTCTGAGTCCATGGTCTTGTCTATTTGATAATAGTGATGATAAAACTAATGCATGGTATCTTTTGATATGGGCAGAATCTTCATGCCAAGAGACCGTGTATGTAGGGCATAAATGTGAAACTAAAAGATAATACTCTGAAAATTCAGACAAATTCCAGGGGGTCTGAGCTGGTAGATATAGGAAACCTGCATTAGTATAAAGAAATGTTGATAAGCAGCTGGCAGTATAATGGAACTCTCAGAAAATGACATTTTGAGAGGTGTCAGGAGTTAGAAAGGTTTGTTGGCTAGTTTTTCTGTCAACTTGACATAGGTTAGGGTCTTCTGTGAAGAGGGACCCTCAACTGAGAAAATTCCTCCATCTGTCAGATTGTCTGTAGGCAACTATATAGGTCATTTTAATGATTAATGACTGATGTGGGAGGGCCTAGCCCACTATAGACTGTGCCTCCCCTGGGCAGTTGGTCCTGGGTTATATAAGAAAGCAGGCCGAGCAAGCTATGATGAACAAGCCAGTAAGCAGTACCCCTCTATGGCCTCTGCTTCAGTTCCTTCCTCTAGGTTCCTGCCTTGAGTTCCTGTCCTGACTTCCTTCACTGATGGAATGTGTGACCTGAGAGTTACAAGACAAAATAAACCCTTTCCTCCCCAAGCTGCTTTTTAACACTGCGGTAGAAACTCTAAGACAAAAGGGTTATGCTTATAATTTCTAAGTCACTGAGTTCTATAACCAAAGCCATGTTCCAAACAATTAATGAGGTGAAAGGTAGAGATTTGGGAGATGTCATAGCAATCCATGACTCATCTTCCTGCAACCTACACTGACTTTTCCCCGAAGTGGGAGATAAGGTTTCATGATGTTCCTGTTGGGGTAGGCAAGGACACCTCAGTGCCTCAGAAAAATCATTGCTTCATGATACCTTCTGGGACTATCCTTGGGCCGCTTACATCTTACCAGCTGGAAGCAAAAGCCAGGTTGTGTTCATTTGTTCTGTTCATTCCTGTTTCTAATAGAGAATTGCATCAGCCAACTTTGGTTTGGCAATCACATCACACAGTGATCAAAAATACTTTTCTCTTTCTTTCTCTCACACTACTATCAATTAAATTGTTCCACATATTGCTGTTCACTCTGAGCTTTAGCATAGGGTTTACATGTGTTCATGTCACATATAATTTTATTTGTGTCTCTTTATTGACATTGGTAAGCTGGCTCTTTATGCAGTACTTGGGGTAGTTCATGAGTTGGAACAATCTTCACTTTTGATAAACATGTGGTCCATTTCTTCCCCAATGTTTTTGAACATATCCATCAGGGACAGCGGAGGGAAAGGGTTCTGTGGGGCAGTATTAGAGAGTTTGCTTGAGCAAGACATCAGCATTTAATGGGCTCTTTGAATAACTGTCCAGCCAGCTGGGGTTCAGTTGCAGACTAGGACTATTTTCCAACATGTTGTTTTGCCTTCTTATTTGTAGAGAAGTGGCTCACTAAAAGTTAAGACCATTATTTAATGGCTAAATTATTCTCTTTCCACTAGATACTCATATGAATCTGGGTGCTATAAAATCAGAAGTATTTTTATACAGAACCCACAAGTATGTTGTACCTGACAATGATTTAGTTGTCTTTCTCCAGCCTGTCGATCTTGCCCTTCCAGTCACAGATATGTTCACTAGTCCATTATGTAACAAGAAACAGGTGTCTCTGACGCCACTGGGTTCAAACTGTTTATTCAGTTAACAGACAGAGTTAGCTAATTTGACTTTTAATCTCTCTCTCTCTCTCTCTCTCTCTCTCTCTCTCTCTCTCTCTCTCTCTCTCTCTCTCTCTCTCTCTCTCTCTCTGTATTTCTCAGTTCCAATTTTCTTAATAGGCCACAGTCTAAGGCTGAGACTCTTGACTCCCCATTTCCACCCCTAGGATACTTTGCTACCTTCATTGGTCGGACTAATGTCTGTCTGTTCTGTGGTTGGCTGAAGTCTCACTTCCTTCACAAAGTCCTGCCCACACAGTCCCTCCCACCTGGGTTTTCCTCTGTGGCCTTGCCTGCCGCTTCAGTCACCTTGGCTGTGGACCAGATTCTCTGGACTTGGATGCAAACTTTTTGAGAGCTGAGGCTGTTCCTGGCTGTATCAGATTCTCAGAGAGCCAGTTTAAGAACAGCAGGCTGTGGGCTCCCTGAACAGCGCACCCAAGGAGACTTGGAAAGATCTCAAATTCTTCTGTTAATGTTCCGTTAATGTGGCTCTGAGCGAGCAGTTGCTTTGGTGTGTGTGTATGGGTGCTTTGGATGATTCTAGGATTCTAGGCTAATACAAAGAACACTGCAATAGGAACAAGTAGGCCCTGATTCGTATTTGCCAAGAGCCCTGGGAAGTGTGCTTAACCAGCCCACTTACTTCTCCCGGTCTCAGTATCTGTATTAGATAAAGAACTGGGACTCCACAGTGAACAAATATGAAGTTGAATATGGGTGGCTTCTGAGTAAATCACTCTATGCCTCAGTATCCTTGTTTACAAATTCTCCATCACTTGGCAACACTCTGAGGTGGACTAGGTAAGCCCAGCTCAGTAACAAGGAGCAAACATAACAAAATATTGACCGTGAGTATATGTCAAGTCTTTAGCAATGTTATATAGCGCGTTATCCTCTCAACATACATCCTACAGAAGAATGTGGCTCAAGGTCATGTGTGGGGATATTGTGTCCTACTATATATTGTGCACCCTAATAAACTTATCTGGGGTCAGAGGACAGAACAGCCACTAGATAGACATAGAGGCCAGAAAATGGTGGCACACACACCTTTAATCCTAGCATTCAGGAGGCAGAGCTCTGTCTGGATCTCTGTGAGTTCAAAGCCACACTGGACACAGCCAGGCATGGTGACACATGTCTTTAATCCCAGGAAGTGATGGCAGGAAGCAGAAAGGTATATAAGGCGTGAGGACCAGGAACTAGAGCCCTTTTAAGCTTTTAGGCTTTTAGCAGCAGTTCAGCTGAGATCCATTTGGGTGAGAACTCAGAGGCTTCTAGTCTGAGGAAACAGGATCGGCTGAGAAGTTGGCCAGGTGAGGTTGGCTGTGGCCTGTTCTGCTTCTCTGATCTTTCAGCGTTCACCCCAATACCTGTCTCCCATGCCTTTTATTTAATCAGACCTTTTAAGATTTGTGCTATAGTCATGATGCTTGTCAATGGTACAATCAGCTTCCCACTCTGACTTCAAGCTCATGCCTCTCCCATTTCACTCTGTAGCTTCATTGTCCAGTGTCTGGCAGGGGGTCTTGTACAGATGCCCTCTGCACCTCTGCAGGGCTGAGTCTGGCTCTCAGATGTCCTCAGCCTTGGGGCAGGAGCTGGTGCTGATGGGAGGCTCTCTGGCCTGCTGGAGAGAGGTCTGGCTGTAGTTGGCTGGCACTGCCAATGTGGCTGGCTAGCAGCCCTGCCTTCACACTCTCCAGAGCCGGAGGAGCCGGCTCAGAGGTGTCCAGGCGGCGTGTATGGTTTATAAAAAGCCACCAGGAGCACCATCTTGGGACTGCAGCCGTTTATCCGCACTTTTCCCTTGTAAAATGTTACTGACTGTTTTACACCAAGGGCAGTTTATCCTGAATGGGATGTACAGGCATTCAATTCACCTCTACTTTTCGCCAAGTCTGCTTTTTCACCGCCTCCTCCTTGCTTCTGAAGTTATATATGGTTCTGAGAGTAGAAGCCATTTTCTATCTGAAGGGAAAAAAAGAGCTGACAGCTTTAAAGAGAAGCCTTCCATCATAGGAAAGAACATTTGGTTGAAGAGATAATGCCTTTGTTTTTTAAAAAATGGAACCCCGCTTCAGTGGTCTTGTGGTTCTCTGAAACTGACCTGGTTTCTGGTCAGAAGTTAAGAATTCTACAGAGATGATCCCTATCAGCATACCTGGAGAGGGTAAATGGAAGACAGATATGATCAGGCCTACTTTTTTAATGGGAAAATGGAAGCCCAAAGAGGTTAAATCATGTGTTTAGGACCACAATGGAAGGATGTTGGTATAAGCAATTGCCTTCGCAGCTGGGTTAGTAACAGGGAAAGAAGGGAAAGAACCTTTTGGCTAGGCACCCATCTTCTCCCTGACGCCCCAGCTGTCTCAGGAGCTTCTCCCCAGTCTTTGAAACTGCTCTTTTTATATGTGATTTGATGGCGAGTCTGAGTTTCTGTGACATTAAGCAATTGGCTGAAAGTCACACTTAGTTATTGCAAAGTAGGTTTCCAACCCAAATCTTGTGAGTCTGAACCTGTCTCCTCCCCAGACCCTCCAGCGGCCTTCATTAGTATCCGCCACTCGCCTGCCCTGGCTTTTGCAGAGAATCTAAATATAATGGATTGCTGCTGCAGAATGCCAGGGTATTTTAATTTATAGAAAAGAATAATGGGGTTCAGGTGAATGCCCTCTTCGGTATATTCTCTTTGGAATGAGGCTTAGCTTTATTGTCCTTTCACTTCCCGTTAGTTCTAGCTAAAGTGATTCCATAATGACATATAAACCCAAACATGAGTAATTGATGGCAGCCTCAGGAGCTGGAGCAGGATAAAACCAGACCGACTCGAGTCTCCAGGGTGAAGAATTAACATTTATTGGTTTAGTGAAATGAATTTATGTCCCAATAAAGCCAGTTACGGACTAGACAGTGATTTAATGAGGTGCCTTTTATAAAAAGAACAAATATGAACTTCTGGGCCTGGGTTAGATTGTAACTAATATGTCACTTGCTAAACCACTTTATAGATATATTTGGAAAAAAAATACAAGGTATTTCCATAATCCATGAAATTTGTGTTTAACCCATTCTGCTGATAGAATTGGAAGTCAAAGGGGAATACAATCCGCGTCTCTGATCTCCTGAACAGCACATTTATTCACCAGTCCCACAAGATCCGGGCTCTGAGTGTGGCTGCAAGACTGAAGAGCAGAGAGGAAGACAAATGCCACCATAAAGGAAAAGAAAAGAAATACTGAAACTAGGTAGGCCTGGCACCCTTTGAGTCTTGGATGTCCTGGTCTACAGGAAGTAGGTGACGTCAAAGGGCAGAGAATCAATGCCTCCTTTGGGGGTGAGGCTGCAGGCAGAAAAGGATACAGTCGCTCCTGCCCCTGCTGCCTTAAAAAGCCAAGGACATTTCTTCTTTCCACTCCTTTCCTTTATTCTTCATACAAAGAACTGGGGAATTGGTGGTCTTTGGTAATAAACTGTGCAGGTTCCAAAGCCCAGTCATTCCAGACTCTTTCATTTTGTGCCCTAGATCTAATCCATCAGGACATTTCATAGGCCCTACTTTCAAAATGATTTCCAGAATCTGGACACGTTCCACTGTCTCCACAGTTTCCTCCCAGGTTCAACTGACCCTTTTTTTTTTTTTTTTTGCCCAGGTGACTCACTAACATCTTAATTGATCTTCCTGCCCTTGTTTTTGATTCTGCCCTGAACTGCTTCCCAGATACCATTTGATCTTCACATAGCAGCCAGAAGTGGGGATCTTCTTAACAGAATCCATCTCCTTGTGTTAGATTTTCATCACCATGACAAAACACCTGAGCCAAGCGACTTAAAGGAATAAAGGTCTGTTTTGGCTCACAGTCTCTGAGGTGTCAATCCATTGCAGCTGGGAGGGTGTGGCAGAGCATAGGAGCTCACTTCATGGCTGCCAGGAAGCAGAAGATGATGAAGGCCTGCATTAGTTGGCTTTCTCACTTTTAGTTCATCCAGGCCTTCAGCTTCTGGATGGTGCTGCCCACACTCTGCATGGCTCTTCACCCTTCAGATAATCCTCTCTGGAAATGTCCATTCATGTGTTAATAGTCCCATTAACCACTACCTCTTTCTTGATTCCAACATGACAGTGGCTTCCCATCTTCCACAGAAGAAAGCAGAAACCTATAGAAGAGCCTACCAGCCCTACATGGCCAAGCCCCTCCCAGACTCTCCACCCTCTGATCTCATACTCTGTCACCACATCCCTGGCGCATCCATACTGCTTCCCTGATCCTCCAAGGCAGGCTGTACATCTTCAAGCTCCCCAACACTTCTGCCTGCATCTTTCTTCTTCCAGATATCTATGTATCCCATCCCTTTGCCCACTTCATGCTTTTCCTCACACCCACCCTCTCAGTGGAGTCCTCTCTATCTCATGTAAAGTGGGGATTCCTCAGCCTCCCAAGTTGTCTTGACCTTCTTACCTCACTCTGCTTTCTGCAGAGCTCTTATTACCTTCTAACTTGCTATCTATTCTTCACTTGTTACTGTGTTGTTTTTTTTTTTTTTTTTTTTTTTTTTGCTTATCTACTGTCTCATAGGTGTAAATGCTACAGGGATTGGAATCCACCTGTTTTGCTTATAGATGCAGCTGGGAAGACTAGGACACTGCCTGCTACACTGGAAGTGCTCAGGAGATGTTTGTTGAATGAATAAATGAGCAAATGGGCAAGAAGTCAGCTGAAAGCCATCCTGAGGAGTTTTAATACTAAGAAAAAAAAGCAGGAGCAATTCAGTTTTGTTCTCATAGTCTAATCTTTTTTAGCTCAGTTTTCATCACAGGTTTTATTTGCTCTTTAACTCTGGAAAAGAAGACTTATCAAATTGGCTTGAAGATATAATTTCTACATCTAGGGAGTTTTGAGATCTTGTAAAAAAAAAAAAAACAAAAGACCTTCAACAAGATGAAGAGGATTTTTCATTGGAATAATTATGACTGAAATCTCTGACATGATCATATTGGACACTTTGAATTTGAAATGAGGTCTAATAATATTAGGAGAAATGCAACCTCTCATGATGTCACCATTGATACTGACAAAATATTTGAGCACCCACTGGCTGCAGAGCACTGAATACTTTGAATGCACGGTGCACACATCTGTGCTGTTAGGAGGACAGCTGTGCTAGTTGGGGAATTTTATGTTCCCAGAGCTTGGAAGCAAGGGTGTCGTATTTCATGCATTTAAATGTACTCTGTGAGCGACGCCTCCTAAGTGTAAAGGGTGGTCACCAGCAAGTAAAGCAAAAAGTGTATTGGTTCAACTAGAAATGTCCTGCAGTACTTGGGATGACTTAAAAAAAAATTACCTTCTCAGGTACCATATAGACCTCGGTTGTCATCCTAATCCACATTTGTACTGCACTATGCAGCTTACAAAGCACTTGCTTGAAATAGACCATCTCGTATCTGGTTTCTGGGGAAGATTTGCCAAAAGCATGGTCTCTGTGGTGCACTGGGGATGTGGGGTTCAGGGTTGTCTGGGGAAGAGGAGCCACAGGGAGGAGCTTTCATTTGTGAAGCTGAAGTCAGATGGTTTCAGACATGATGCTGTGGTCAAGAGTAAAGACTCCACAGTCAGGCTCTCTGGTGTCAGATCCAGGCCTGATTTTTGCTTGATGATGTCTTGACTTTATCAACTGTAGAATGGGCTGAGTCATAGTAGGTTTTCACATGCTGTTAGGAGGGATTGGGAAGTTTGTAAACAGAGAGTGCTCCGAAGAACTGCTGGCACTTGGGAAGTTCCCATGCATGCCAGCTGTTAGAATTAAGGATCAGAGGAGGGCTTGCTTGCCCTTCACCTCTCCTTCAATTTTCTTATCCAATTGTTGGAAAAAAACCTTTCTTAGCAGTCATTCAGTTAGCTATGCACTTCTTAATATTGTAAATGAACAGAACAATATGCAAATCAGATGAAAACTCAGAACCCTTTAATAATACACACATTTCCGTGTCTGTACAGTTTTACTTATGGTTTTGGAGTTGACTGTTCCTGAAGTCCTCATACTAATACATCAGAGAGCCCAGTTTGAATTATTGCTCCTTAGACACTTAAGTCTAAGATGCCCCCGTGCCCACTGGGATGAGTTATTTGATTTTTTATGTCCAGAATATAGGACACTAGATGGACAGACTCAAGGTAGCCTTGGCATATCTTTTGAGGGACATTTGAGAAGCAACTTGATGTAGGTAGAGAACAGGCAAACAGTGGAATGGCCATTTCCAGACCCGTGATTTTCGATGTAATTGACTTTTCGGGGCAACCACCCTCCTCATCTCCGTGATTCTCCCTTTCTGCCTGCTTCTAGGTTCAGTGTGCATCATTTCTCCCTGGGACAGTAAGCTGCTGAGAAGCCCCTAGAGGGAGAGACAGCCCAGGGAAAATGAAGCAGCACTGAGCAGATCATAGTCGGGACTGGAAATCCACCTGACAAAGGCGAAGTCACCACAGAGACAGAACTATGTAATTGGTTGTCAATATATGTATTTCAAAACACAGTCTCCAGGTAGCCAACTTCCCAGGGAGATAAAAAAAGAATCTTTCAGTGTGAAAGCTTGTTACATCTCAAAGAAAGCATGCTGGTACTTTGCAAGGACAGAGCAAGCAGGCAGCGGCAGCCCCTGAGAGCGGGCACAGCACAGGATTTCTCTGACACTTCGTTCTGTCACAGATGGGGGTGGGGAGCGGTCTTTAGATTTCTGTTTTCTGTCTCTTCCTCTTGCAGATTCCCAGGGTGATGCAACCAGATCCGAGATGCTCAGGGTTTTGTAGGGAGGCAGCAGCTGTGCAGTTTGGCCAGATCCACCCTGCAGAGGAAAATGCTGATTCTCCATGTTTTCTCTGCTGCTGTAAGAGGATAATAATAAAAAGGAAGCATGCTTCCCCGTCTTAGGGACTCGGGGAGATGATTTAGATGTTGCCTATGAGGCGGTTGAGGCACTGGCTGAAGGAGATGCTAAGCACCATTTCCAAAGTTAGCTTCTTAACCCACCTTGTAAAAATGAGCGCCCACCTCATCTGCTGGGAACTGGGTGGAATGCCTCTATTAAAAGCTTTGGAAAAGGTGACAGGGCTTGATGATGGAAACAGCTGTCAGTTTAATTGACTCACTTTGTGAAGACATTGAGAAGGGAGAGGAGATGCCACCTTGGACCAAGCAAACAGGGCCTCCTCTAGGATTCTTGTCCTAGGGGACTGGTGAGAATAGATGGGGATATTGTGGTTGGGACCAGGCAGCCTGATACTTGAAACAGGAATTTCCACCCAGCACCAAGACAGAGGTGTACCCAGTGCTTGAAAGAGTAACTTTCTTTCTTACCTAATCTTTCTAGTTCAGAAGTGGGTTAAATATTTGGATCCCAGGTTTCCCAGTGTGTGGTGAAGACAGATGAGAACATTGTAATGGCTTCCTCCATGGGTGGTTAGCCCTTTTTTTCAGGGCAGAGTGCAATTTGATATTTATTCTAGGCAGAGCACAGAGCTACTTGACTTAAGAGTCTCTCACCCATTAATTCATTACTAAGTATTGATTGGGCATTAACAATTAGCCATAGTTCTGAGGAGGGGGAAACTGATCAAGATGGTGAAAGTCCTTGTCCCCAAGGAACAAGGAAAGACAAGCTGGAAAGACAAGAGAGTAATCCCCCCCACTCACCCTCACCAGAATATGAACTCTACATAGGCAGATTTTGTCTATTTTTTAAAAATCTGTTTACTACTATATTCTGGATACTATAGTCCTGGATGAGGTCTTAGAATGCCTGTTACTAGTTGCCCAGTAGGTGTTTGCTAAATACATGAATAGAAAAGGCAGTTTTGGGTGAGGTCGATGGAAGAAATGAATCTGAGGCTGTCAAAAGAGGATGAAGTAAGGGGTGGATGATGGAACCCTCAGTCTCTGTTCCTCTTACCTACTCACAGCAAACCCTGCAAGACTTGGACAAGAGTTTGGATGAGAGGAAGAGATTCTAAGCATAGAAAACCTGCTTAGTAAACACTACTTACTTACTTACTTTATTTATCTATTTATTTGTTATTCTCTCTCTGTGTAGGCACATGTTTGCCACAATGTGCATGTTGGAAGTCAGAGAACAACTTTCGGGAGACATTTTTCCCCTTCTCTCCCCTTCCATCATGTTCTGGGAATTGGACCCAAGTTGTCAGGCAAAGGTCATCACCTGCTGAGCTGTCTGAGTGGTCCCTCTCTCAGTTTATACTTTAAAATCCCTACTGAAGCAGCTTGGGAAGAAGAGCCGGGAAAGCAAGGGCAAATAGCTAGGAACTTTTTCCTGAGGTCCAGACTAGAGTTCACGATGGTTGTTGCAGGCAGGCTGGGGAGGTCAGGTTCCAGAT